GAGAGAGAGAGATATTTCATATCTTTCCTTTCATAATAGGATTTTTTCCTATTGTGTTTGCTAAATCCTTAAGGCAATGTGACATGGTTCACACATTTAAACTGAAGTACATGCCTAGGTATCTGCAGGATCAGGGCCTTGCTAATCCCAGAATGTATTTGTCTCTTTCTGAACCTCATCTTGCCTTTATGCTAGTTACTATTCATTCAGTAACAAAACATTTAACATAGTTCAAAAACAGAGTTAATAATACACTGATTTACAGAATAATGCACACAAAGTGTTCAGCTTTGGGTACTGGATTTCAGGGTAGCTTCAGATGATGTATCTTTGGTCATAATTACTTATATTCTAGTGTGCTTAATGTAAATTACCTGGCACTGTAAAGTAAGAGTACAAAACCTTCAGATCTTCAATACAAATTTAGTGACTAGTAGAATAAGTGCAGTGACACATCTGACCACAAAGTACAATAACACTGAGTAATCTGTATTAGGATACTGATCACATTGATACTTGAATACCTCAACAAAAAAAAAAAAAATCTGCTCCTAGTTGCTGCAACTTGAGAATGAAATGGAGTTTAGAAGTTAAAGGATGCTTAAAATTCACTACTCATACAAAATCATAAACGGCTCAATATGACATGAAAAAATGTATCCTAACAGTGCCCAGGCCATGCAGTCTGTGTACCAAAGTAGCACATTGTGTATTCTGTTAATATCCAATTTGCTCAGTCGTTTAGCTATCTTGTTAAAAATAAGTGTTCTAGGCTTCAAAGTATGGCCTTCAGCTTGTGGTCACAGTAGCTTTCAATGGATAACTAGCAAAGATTATGTGACAAAAGCTAAATCATCCTCAGAAGGGACAGAAATGTTATAAAATAACAAGGAAACTGAACTGCTTCAGTGAAGTGCAGTCCTGGAAATTTATCCTGGAATTTTCAGTCTGGACCTTCTAATACTGAGTTCCATTAATAAATACAAAAGCTGAATAGAGAATATCATCTACATCCACAGCAAGGGAAGAAAAAGATATGTAGCCCTCAAACACACGAAAATAGCAATGATGCCATAATGTTTCAAAATGTTAAATTATGACTTACAAACACACAACAAAGCAAAGGAAATTTAAAACATAATTTCATTTCTGTAAATATACATCTTTATGTATGAATACACTTATGCACAAACAGATATAGACAGACAGGTAGAGCATTTTCCTTTGGCTAGCATTTAATCTGTCAATCAGTCATTATGTCTACGCATGTCTCTAGAAATGATCTGCCTCTTTTTAACCCTTCCCCCATTTTTGTTACTTGAGCATTGTTCCACTATTTACTATATGAAACTTGATTAAACAGACATTAAGGACAGCGAAAGCATAAATTTTTCTCTTTGCTCTTCATTTTTGACACAGTGATGCAATACTGCTTCTTACTTACAGAACTGTTGCTCTATCCCTTCTTCAAAAACTTCTCTCATTTGGGGTAGCAGTCTTTTATTTTCATGAGAGTTTTGATCAAACAGGAATTACAAAGACCAGGTATTCTCTTAGTTAAAGGGAGGTAAAAATGTCTTGGAGGGCTGCCATGTCTCTCCCAACCCACTGAATTGCACTCTTGTGCGGTTTTATCAAACCACAAAAGCTGTGGTGCTGGTGTGGCTCTTCCCTGGACTCCTTGGGGTGCCAGTAGCATTTATGAACACATAGGGTTTGGGGATGAATACAGGGCAGAGAGAGCTAACTGGAGTCACAGGTAACATGGATCAACATGCATTTCACACCACCAAACAAGTTTTCTTTTTTTCATTTTGGCCCTAGTTTGGAAGGAAAGTGAAAGGTAATAAGAGTCTAACACATCTCCACAGAGGAAAACTAGGCCATAAATATTCATTGCATTTCTAAATTCTGCTAAGAAATCCCTAGACCACTGCAGAGCTATTAAGGATCAAGACTTTGTCCATAAAAAATGCACTTAGCTGCATTTTACATGATTGTTGCATGACGCATAGCATAGGTTAGCTCTCAATGACAGATTAAAAAATCTTTAGACTTAATGAGTTTTAGAAGCCTAAATACTCTGCTGATCCAGACACCTGTTAAAAATTTTATTTAGGTTGCAGATGCCTAAAGAGACTGAATGCTGTAGAAAACCATCTCTTAACCATGGGGTATCTATACTGTCTAGAATTTTGTTTAGATCTTTGTCAAACAGTGAAGGCCAAAACACAGCCTTCAAAAACAAATTACAATTAATATCATACATACACTGAAAGCATCCCTTTAATGAAATTCTATCAGACAGCAAGAGGAAAACAGATCTGAATTAAAAAAATAAATCAGTTTTCCCTCATTTATGTGTCTTCTGAAGGTTCCAGACAAACATACTCCCTTGACAAGCTGCTTCAGAATGACTGTTAGAAAAAATGTCTTCTACATCATGCTGTATTGTATCCAAACTAAATAGTTAAAGGACATTATTTGCCAGAGTGAATTAATGTATCTGGCAGACAAGTAATCCAATGGGGAATCACAGATATGTGCTTGCACATTAAGTGATCAAATGAAGGGCTAAAGACAGCCCTTGAAATTGAAGCAATTTCTGGATTATTGGTTAACAGTCTCAAACAATATTGACTCCAGGGAAACTGCCTTCCTAATGAAACCAACAGCTCACATAAAGAGAGCTTACAGGGTCAAATCTGTAATTATTATTTTGCTGAGAATGTTGTTTCCCAGATTAAAACCAACTTTTTTGGAAACCTTAATCAAATTATTTGCATATATATTGTTTTATTTGTTTTCACAAACATTTAATTTTTGTAATTATGTTAGATGCTCACATAATCCAGGTTCCTTGAGCCCAAGCAATTGTTCTTTTATGAAGGCCATAGTGCCCTTAGACTACAATTTAAATTGCTAAGTAGTTCTCTGCTCATTTTTAAAAACTATAGGATAGTTTTTGAAGTTCTATGTCTTAACGACATTTGCTTTATTACCCTTTGATGACATCCTTCATTGTTATCTTTACGCTTTTAAACACAAATCAGAAGGTTAGTGGGGTAAACATTCAGCTGATATACATTGTAACCATTGCAATCCTGCTCTCTTGTGAAGTAATATGTATTTCAATATGATGCTTCCCCTACCTTGGACTACAAGCCAGTAAGACTGGCTTTTACTAGTGCCATGGCAAGAGCATCACCATCCACTCTATGACAACTCTAGCAGATACGGGGAGACCTCTTAACGAGTGATGTGAAATAGTCCCATGGCTAATACTGTCATTACCACAAGTACACTGTGTGACAATGCTGCTTCCTAGGCTTGGGGCTGAGCAAGCAGAAGGCAGCTGTGAGCACAGGAGAGGCCATGGTACATAGCAGTGGGTAGATTGCCCAGGGGCTGCAGAGACAAGAAGAGGGCATGGAAGATCAGGTGGGGTTACCATGCAAGCCAGCCACATGCTGGTTCTTTAAAACTGGAAAACTGAAACTGTAAGCACTTCTCATTTTCAGTTCCAGCATACGCAATACCTACTGGCTATAGGCTGAACGACTTACATTGGTTACTGGAAAAGGAAGCCTCTACCATCTGCTATATCCTCCTTACAGGTATTTGCCTGTCCACACATTTTGCTTCCACAATAAGTTCCTTCAGAAGAGGAAAAAATGCAGAGAAGCAAAAGAGAAAGACTGCAGTAGGAAGACAGACAAAATCAGACACCATTTACACCAGACACAGAAATTGAAAAGTTTCCCCCACCCCATCACTCTTCTATTCTTTCATGCATTTCGTTACGTACAGCCCTGGCCTGAGACATGGACTTCCCTGCCACAACCCCAGGTAATGACAACCCTAAGCCTGTTAGATCGTTACGCTGGAATGAATACCCTTTGCCACAGATCAGCATTATCTACTTTTGGCAACTTTATCCATGGTATCCAAGTATCACTGCTTTGTCCTGCTTGGCTTCCCATCACTGAAAGTCGATATTCCCCACCCAAGCATGATGACATGTGTGTAAACCACAAGATCCTTAATACTATAGAATCACTGTGCTTTCACCAAATGCTCAGAAGCCCCCCGCACTGGCATACTCCAGCCTCAGATTGAACAAAATGCTTCTCTGCCATACCAATTCAACATTGTGAGCAATTCTCTAGGGAGGAGGAAAAGGAAAGAGGCAGGAGGCAGCTGAGCTCAAACTCACCTGAGAGCCAGTCCCAGCCTTAGTCCCGGTCAGCGGTCCCCAGAAGTCATGCAACAAGGCCTTTCTAAAGCCCCCAACACCAGCATTTCAGACAACACATAAGGCAACAGAAAATCTAAGTGATTTAAGAAAAGGCCACAGACTCAACTTCCTCCTAAGTGCTGACAACTCAGCATTGGTACCAAATACATAGGTCTGATCTCCACAGATCTGTCAGAAACTAGACGAGATGCATTGCTTAACTTCTGAAGAAACCAGCTATGTGTACACAGACATACACACTCCCTCTCACACACTGAGGAGGACCCAGTAAGGCTAAATAAGACATGGAAAAAGGAGGAAAAAAGAGCTAATTAAATTTTTTTTTCTGTGAATTTGAAAAATAATAAATCACTGCACTGAAAATAGTTTTATTCACAAATATTGGTTCAACTGTTATTTTTCTTAATGTCTGAAGAGTAGCTCCAGGAAATTATACTGGGATAGAGAGAAACCAAGCATAAACAAACACAGTGAGGATGTCCAACATAAACCAAAATAAAGACCTGATACAATCTAATCTATGTGGCCTCACTCTTTTTTAAACATTAAGTATACTTTTTAAAATTACAACAATTTCAAACAGAGTCTAAACGTGTTTCTGCAATAATCACAGTCATATCCAATAGCATAAGAATACACAGTAAGAAGTAAAGGAAGTTATTTGAATGAGAATAAAATTATTTCATAATATCAACCCATAGCATCATTCAGATAATGTTTTCTGACAATAATCAGAACTTACCATATTGATTGGGTCAACTGGGCCAATGCTGTTAACATAGACATCTGTTTCAATTACCGTAGTTCTCACTAAACAAAACAGTAACCATAATAATTACATATTTAATTAACTCTGTACATTGTTAGTGTAATCTAACCTCTTTAGTAAAACTGACAATAAATTTGATAGTCTTTTATTAGATTCAGAATAATTAAATCTCTGGTTTGTTTATTCTGTGAAGGATCATATATGACTCGGTTCCCTTATTCCATATGAATTGTTAGGATTATCGAGACAATTTTTTTACTTCTTAATGCAATCCCCACCCGTGCTTTGTGAACAGATACAAAATAGATGCAAAAGATGTAAAAGGTTAAGGGAGGAAACACAAAACCAAAAACTGTCTTCCAACGTAAACAGTTAATCATAAACAGAAAAAAATGTTTGGAAAAAAAATGCTTATACAACAAATCATGAGGCCTGGGAGAAAATGTGTTTATCAGCTGTAAGCAATCAATAAGCAGTGCGTTCTTTCAATTCCTATTGAAGATATATTACAAAAATAAAATAACTTTTCACCACAGATTTATTCAATTCATGCAATTATAGCACACTGAAGGATTACTAACATCCTTTCACCAGTTTGATTAATAAACTGATTCACACACAAAACTGAAAGCTCATTAAGTGAAAGTCATTTTTAAATTAAACATTTCCAAATTAATTTTTCTTTAAAAAATACAGTGAAATCACTCTCACCAGGCAGACAAAAATTAACTGCTTTAAAAATATATTCTCTTACAGAATATACTCTTTCTGTACACTTACAGACGGGCAAAAAGTCTACATGACTTCCCATGAAAGTCACATCTGAAGTACAAGTGACACTGACAATTCGGTTGTTTCCTTCTTACTGCTTTATAGAGGAAAAAGGTACAAATGGAAGACGTCAGGATGCATTTTAACACCATCAATTTACCAAGCATTTTCTTCTAGCTTGTAATGAAGAGGAAGAATGTGGACACAAGAGGCCATACATCTTAGTCTCCAATGTAATGAAGAGAGTTAATAATAAGGCTCTGCTGGTCTTTCTCCCATGATCTGGCACATTAAAATGAAGCATCTCTGTCCATCTGCAGATGGAAAAGATGGAAAGTACAAGCAAAAAGGTACCTGGATTTCATAGGAGAGGGACCCTAGGTCACCAGATTTAATTTCTTTACACTGCAAACCATCAGGGATTGCCCAAGTGCTCTATAACAAAACCAAAATCTTAACTAACAGGATTTTTCAAATCTCAAAAATCTGAAACTCAGACACACAGAAAGAAACAGGGTATAACTAACATCCTTGTCAGCTATGACAGGCAAGATATGTTTACTAAATATCTTAAGATACCTTTTGCCTGCCAGTCTCACTTGGAAGGACACTTCCCCTGATTCCAAATCTGATTAATGGTGTGACCCTGAGCCTGACAACGAGACACATCATTGAGGCTGCACAAAGGATTTTCTGTATAACCACTGAGCACAGGGTCACTTGATCACCATCCCGTCCCCAGCATGCTTCACAGAAAGTTTGTAAACAGACTCTGGAAATCAATTTATTTCCTGGGGGGTGTGGGGGAAAAAAGTACTTCCTGAGCCGCAAGTTTTTTCATTATCTGCAGGGCTCATAAGGGAAGGGAGACAACACAAGTATTCTTATCCACAGACTGAAAAATCAGAGTAAAAGAAGTATATAATACATTTGTATATAGACATATGCATAGAATATTTTACATATGCCACATCTCGCAAACACATATCCTCTTCCTTTAATTTTGCAACCTTATTTATCTATCTAACAGCAACCCCACTGCTACACCAGAATATGAGAAGGTGGATCAAAGTGTATCTTGCCTCATTCCTCAAGCAATGCTGAAGCCACCATTTTTTTCTTGTATTAGTAGGAAACATTTAATTCTCCTTAGTGCTAGGAAATCTTGTTTTGATCTGAGGTGCAAGTCTCTGACTCCAACTTTTGGCACTGCCTAGTCATGTATCAAACCTCGTCTTCAGACACAAGTACCTATGCACAGTGATTAAGATCATCTCTGAAACTAGACTTCAGTATGCTGAACAGTTCATTCTGCATACTGCAAATGCAACCTTAGAGATACTCTGTTCAGCTTTAACTTCTAACCTTGCTCCATCTTTTCCAGATTCTTCTTGAAATGTGGACACCGGAATGGAGAATTTTTGTAACAGTGTTATCAGTGCTGCATGAACATTTCCAGACTTCTTGTGTTCCTTTTCAAAAGGGACTTACCTCAGGACAATGCTCAGGGGATGCACACCTAAGATCTTTTGCAACACGAAATATCCGAGTTTTCCCCTAAATCACTGCTTCACTATGCAGAATCTCTCACCTTGAAATATGACCCACAGGCTTCCTCCCCGGGCACCTCCTTCTCTCCCCCCCCCCCCCCAACAATTTTTGTGTCTCCAGTTTTACTGAAGAAGCAAGTTATTATTCCGCAGATACAACCTCTCCCTTTCCAACAGTCTTTGTGTCACTTGCCAACTTTACTACAAAAATTAATTGCTGAAACCATTCAAAATATCATTATTCTTGATAAAGACTTTCCTATGACACCAAACAGTAAACGCCCCAACCACTGATATTTCCTTATTAACAGCTAAATTTTGAGAACCGTCAGTGAGCAATGGGGCTGTGCCAATTTTGTGAAATTCCAGCTTGCAGCAAGCAGTACTTGCCACAAGGGCTGTCCTGTAATGCACCATGGAGTTCAGTTTGCCTTTTCCATATTGCTCTGAGTAAGATTATTAGTGCTATTAAGAGCCAATGAAGAGTCTGAAAATCTGCCCCTGCTGAAATTATTTTAATTGACCCAAATGATCCAGAGAAACAGATCCAACTGAAGAAGACTGGAAGAGGCTGTTTTGTTACCTTAGTTCTTCCATGGGGTACAGAGCGAAGTGAATTAGAAGAAATAATTCATTCTTCTCATGTTCTTGAATTAGAAGTGATACGCGTCCATGAAAATGACAAATGCTGGAGGAAAATACATTCTTTATACTCATTTGACATCCATATAATTACTATTGTTCATTTACTCTCCACAAAGAGCTAACAGAGAAAGATGGTTTGAGAAGATGTTTCTACAGTGAACACTTCCCTTTTTTTCACTTTAAAAATTTGGTATTAGTGATGAAAACACTACAAGAAGGCTATTTAACACATCCTGCACGAAGTGCTATAGAACAGTACTGTAAACTTACAGAAGCTTCCAAGGAAGGGCAGAAAGAGTACACTTTAAATATTTACCCTGAAAGATAATATGAGCAAGTAGAGTAAGAAGGTGAGAGGATGACAGATTGCATACACAACAGAGAAAGAGAAGAGCACCAAGAGGCAGCTGCCCCCAAGGGATAGTTCATCACCTCCTAACGTAGCTGTAGCACACAAGGAACCTGCTTGCTAAACCCAATCTAGAGAGATTTACTCAATTTCTGATCTCCTGCTTTGGCACCTTTTCTTCACTAGACTAAACTTCTCTTCCTCTGGTTTAAAAGGTTTGACTGCCATTGAGCATCACCTAACACCAGCACAGAGCTAAGGACAGTCTTGTCCCAAGGAAAAAATATAGTAAATAAGTGACTCTTGTGTCTGGAATTCAAGAGTAAGAATGAACTTCCCAACAAGCAGCATGACCTGGAAAGAAGTGTCTCTCAGCAGGCATGGACCACTACCCTTCTAGTAACAGATGATGCTGCATAACGCCCAGGCATATTCTGAACACCAGTTTGAATTCAAAATTTTTATTTGGAAAAATGTTTACCCTCAACTAGAAAAATCATAGTGATACAAACCTACCTCAGTCATTGACAAATCATTTTAGTAATTGGTCTCGCTATCAAAAGTGCCTCTTTTTTAGCCTGTATTTATCCAGGCCCAATTTTCAGCTTTTGATATTTGAAATACTCCACCTGCTACATTGAAAAGCTCTCCTTATCAGTTATTCTCAGTCTATAAACCCCCATCTTCTGACAGAAATTATTATCATTATTGTAAAAGTGCAGAACATGCATTTTTTATTGCTTAATATTGCTCCATTTTAATTACTCCAATCCTCAACATTATGCAATAGCATGTTAGTCCATCTAAATTCACTAACCAGTTCCTGTAGTTTGCCACAATTTCCCATTTTGGAATAAAGGTCTAAGATATATCACCTTTTTTATTCTTATTACTTATCATGCTATTTAACTTAAAGTAAGACCACTTTTGATAATTTCATCCAGGCTTGTTTTCTTTGAGCAAGTTTTCTATAACTCCTCATTAATTGCCTAAAGAAACATTTCTTCTTGGTGATAAAGCCAATAAATCAGCAAATAAATTATGTGACTACCACATTCAGGAATAACAGAGGCCTTCAACTTGCAATAGTTTTTAATGGAATAGTATCATTCTCACAACCAGTTACCTAAGAATATTACTTATATGGCTAACTATATTGAAAGTTCGGTCTCAAGTGTCTGCAGCAGGCTTTCAGCTCCATCTCTGAAAATTTTTTTCAATGTGATTTTGATGAAAGTAGAGCCCTGTTCTCCACTTCTTTTACCTTTTTATTTAAGAGACCCATCTTTAGCAAATACTCCTACTCCACCACTTTTATTAATTCCATAATTTCCTATGCAGTGCACAGATCTAGTACCTTTAACATTCACTGCATATGCTCTTCTACATCTTGCTCGTTTTTAAATTTCCTTCAATTCTTGCAAAATATTCTTCATCTCAGAATACATACCTCTCTACCTTTACCTGATACTTTCCTGCTTATTTACACTTATTACTTTCCTGTCTACATCATCCTTTCATCAACACTACATTAAGAGCACCTGTTCAACAGAATATCCCCCTAATATCCTTATCTTTCCAGCCTCTATTAGTCTCTTGAAACTCCATTTTTTGTTCATCTGTCCTTTACATCCCTGAGTACAGGGCTTTTCACATTAGTGCACCGAGATGCAATTACTTACCCATGCCCTGCTTACAGGGCCATTTCAACTATCCAAATTTCTCTAGGAATCCAATTTCTCTATGTCCACAAGCAATCACACTCACCATTCTTAAAATTTCTATCCATTCTATCCATTACAAACTGTTGATTGAAAACACTCAATTAGAGCTGTAGATATGTGATGATTATTCCTTATTTTTAATTAAACTTTCAGATTGACCAACTGTGTTCACCTACATAACAGACGTATTCATCTACATACTACACAACATTGGACATGAGACATAGCTGGAAAAAATGTGTTGTACATTGATAGGTTAATACTAATATATTGGTGTTGCTAAGGTATGAGAAATGGAACAGGGTGCAGCCAGAATTCTTTCCTCCGCAAAGAAAAGTTGAAACATAACAGTCCTTGATCCAGGAACGAAGATAAAATAGTGTGGTATAAAACCAGGTAGCCAAAAGGTAACTTTGCAGTGAGAATAATACTGCTTTATTAATATCTCAACACTCCAAGGTTGCATCTTTAATTAAAGGGATTTATAGAACACATAGGAGACTTCACCTATTACTACTTCATACTGAGCAGAAGGTACTTTAATACTAGTACCTTCATGCTCCAAATATCTCAAAGTATATTACACATATTGTGTTAAAGGCTAGTAAGATCAATAAACATAGCAAAGGGTTGCAGTTAAGAAATCACTACAGTTCACGGACATTTGAATGAAACAGAAAATGGCAGGGTGTGGTTTTCTCCTACTAAATTTCAGTAGTGCTTCTGAAGTTTCAATTTTCATTTGGCTCTCCTTTATCATCTCCCTCAACTAACTGCATGTTTAACAATGAAAGCCCTTATCTCAGTTTGAGATGCTGAAATTCTGTGTCAACATCAGGAAGAAAACAAAATTCTACTTTGTTATTCAAACCCAAAAAGTCCAGGTTCAAAACAAAGGATGTTGCTATTGTAACTGAGCTTTGTAATTCAATAGTAAAAATGTTCTGTGGGGTATTATTGCTTTGAAAGATAATTAGAATTCCAGTTCAATAATCTTGTTGTGCAAGTACTGACATATACTGTGAAGATGTGGAATCTGACACCAGATTTTATCCACATAATTGAAGCAGACTAATCCAAATACACTATAACCTGATTTTGTTTTTCTGTCTGTTAAATACCTGCTGCAGTTCCCATGCAGCTGGACAGAATACAATGCCTTAACCCAACGTTGGAAATTTCATCTTACGCTGTCCAAAATTTCTGCCATGTGGCAGAAGTCTGGAACTTCCATCCACAAGACAGTCAGTCTTAATGTCTGTTCTCCTGGCAACAAAGTGAAGAGTCCCAAATGTCTCCTGCTTGCATCTGGCTGTTATTCATGAACTTTATGTTTTAATATATTGGATAGAGGCAGGTCTCAGATAACAGAGATCAAATTGGTACAAAAGTATTGCACCAAGAGAGCAAAGAAGAAAAAGAAACACAGCACTCATGTGAGAGAAGCTAGAACCAAGCATCTTCTTTCAGGAACTGATATTTGGAATTCAAAAAGTTATACATTGAGCAAAGGTAAGGACTACACCAAAATTTTTCCATGCCCATCTAAATCTCTTTGACGTACCAGAATAAACTCCTCCTTCCCTATTTTCCCTCCATGTATTTCTAAGTTTTATGAGGAGAGAAGCGAAACACAATTCTCTTTTCTTTCATCCTCACCTACCAGCTAATCATTAGAAGGAATCCTAGTGGAAGCAGTTCCCCCATCATCCCTTTGCTGTCTGTGGCATCAAGACGTTGGGGAAAAAAAAGTAATGCTATACATCTGTCACATGTTAAAAATTTAAGGAAAAATATGTTGGAAGACTTTTATTGTGGTCTAAATATTCGCAGTAATTCAATCAAATGAATGTGAAGGCAAAGACTTATAACAAACTTCATAAGATTCACGTGATTGTATTATGACAGGGAGAGAAAAATTGCCATTCAGTATCTTCAGGATAACAGTCAACAACAAAACAGAACTAAGAAATGTGGAGAAGAAAACAATTTGTCAGAAGCTTTCAAAATAAAATACTTTGTTTGAGATTGCATCTCTCTGTTCTCCTACATAAATGAAACAAGTCTAGATTGTTGCACTGTTTATCATATAAGCAGCTTACAGACTTACATGGCATTCCTTTGATAGGGGATGCCAAGAATTTAACAAATAATTATGTCTTCCACCTCTCCCTTCACAGTTCAGGAGGCAAAGTCTGAGAAAATAAATCATTTTTCTTAGTTTGAGCCAGTACGCATGTGGTAGACAAGAGTTGGAGAGGTTTCTTGTATTACATATTTTCAACACAAGGTTCTTCCAAATATTTACATTTAACAGTTATATGCAAACTGATGCTTTGACTATTGAAAGACAAAGTTGCCTTCCTACTAGCTGCAAAGTTTGATCTATATTAACGAAGTCTTCCTTCCTATATTCCTCTAGAAAATATATAATCCTGTTATATTTTTAGATTCTTATGAAGATTTTAAAAATCTCAGCTAAGAGAAGAAGAGAGCTGCTTTGAGCTAAATTTGCTCAAAATACACACTTAAAATGTATTTTCTACAGTAAAAGTAAAAATATCTAAGAATAATTCTTTAACAAACTCCTACAGACTCAAGATCGAATTTTTAAATAACCATGGCTGGTTTATATCTACAATTCTTTCTGTCAAAAGATCTTAGTTAAACAAAGCAAAATATAATTGCTTTTTAATGATTTATTATAGATTATCCACCATCCCAAAAAAGTAATACTTTACATAAGAAAAGAGATTGTAAACATAACATAAGTATTCTGCTCTTGCATAGAACATTATTTTTACCAGTTCCAGAAAACTATCGCATTTTATTGCTGTGATATTTAGCTTGCTATATGAAGTTTTAAAATTAAGCAGATTTTTGCCATCTTTGATGAACCCCCTCTGGTTCACATCTTCTATTTACTGAACTACTTTAAGGGCTTACCCCCAATATCTGGACGGAGCTTATTGTCATATCCTTGAAGTAAGGAGTCCAGTATGTGAGTTACATCCCCACCATGAATCTTTGGTGCAAGGACCCATGTTTTATTCACCATTAGATCTTCATCATCCTCATCATCTGCTTTATCAGCTCTATGGTGAGTGAACAAAAAAAAACAAAAAAACAAGGTTAGAAAAAAAACAGTGAAACTAAGTACACAAGAGGTGAAGAAGAAACTGATAAAATATTGAACACTATTTAGAGTATTTTACAAAAACCCAAATGCATTCTGGTGCCAACAGAAAGAGGTAGACTCTTATTTAAACCACCAACATCTTGTTTTGTGGTAGAAGGGAGTGCAAGCTAATAAACACGTCAAGAGAAGCACTAACACATCACTCAAAGAAAAAAAAAAAAAACGAGTCCAACTCATAAAAGCAGCAGCAGGCATGATCTTACTGTCAGCCTTTTCCTGTTTTAAAACCAAAAACATAATTCTCAAGCTTTTCCTTACATGTATGCAATTTTCAAAAGATGGTTACAGATATTTCTAAGAGATGCTTAATCATGGCAATAGATACATCTTAGTGTCAAGAATATTAACAGAATCTCCTTCCTAGTAGCCTCCATTCTAACTATGATATAAAAAAATAAGACTTGTGTACTTTATTCAAATTTTAAGAAAGCAAACATATTACATCCATGTGCTATGACTAACATTTCACAAAAGCTGCAGTCATGTGTCAATTCTGTATCTAAACATATATGTGGTATAGTTAAAATGTTGTTACCATTCCTTTCAGTTCGGAAGATAGTTTTAGCTACCTATTTTATCAAGATTAAACAAATGCACAAGGAAAAAACACATTCATTGACTGCCTATCTTTTAATTAGATGAGCAGCAATATATATCACTAAGTCATTAGAAAAGTCAAAGAATGTCTGGAAGTAGTTTTCTCTCCATTTGAGACAAATTAGTGTGGACTTAAGTATTCCTCCAGTGTTAAAGTTTGCAATCTATATTACTCATGCAGCATATTTCAGGGAACTGCTACGGGCTCCAAGTCAAGCAAAGTGCATCAGACTGATAGCAGTAACTCTGACAGTCACACAACGTATCTTCACAAATGGACACTGGCTAGCGATTATTACAGAGTGTATGCAATCCATACAAATCAGTTCCAATGTTAGCACAAGCACAGATATTCCAGTAAAAGAATGGAATTAAATTACCATCCTTGTATCAATTTGTATTGTACACCACAACTAAAAATGTTACTACTCTATTATTACAAAGGGATTTCAGGGCTTCTAAATTACACAAGTATACACTACCCTCAAAACTAAGGGCAATTTTTTTCAGTAAATGTCCTACAGGAATGAAGGCCACCAGCATCTTCCACACAGAGACAACACTACACCTTCAGAGGGAAAGGATAGAAAAAGTCAGGAAAGGGCAGACATGGAGTAGGCATGCCTGGTGTTTATTGTGCTCCTTTGTGGGAACGCACCAAACCAGTCTGTATTCGTAAGACCTTGCATCACCTCTCAGATAACACTAGCACATCCCACTGAAAATCAAGACTATTATGGCTGTGGAAACTGCTCAGTGGTTTTGGCATGCCTGCTTAATTTGGGAAGTGCAACAGGGAACTTGCCACAGCTCAGTAGCTTCCTAGAGGATGAACAAAAGGCACTACTCAGATATCAGGACTTTCATACCTAGCTTGCCGCAAACAAGTTGCAAGAGTCTATTATCGCTGAAAGTAATATGTAATCTAAATACAAGGTTCACTCACATCTTCTCCTTTAACAGTCTGAAAAGTACTTTCATTATTTTAAATTGAAATGCACTGTAAAATACTTAATCTTTACTGCACTACATAGACATTATAGAAATGTCTGATATTAAATATTTAACATTTCCCATTAGCAGGATTCCACTAACGGGAGCACTAAAAGAAGTAGAAAGATAAGTTTTGTAAATGTAA